AGCATCCTACCTACGTAAAGAGCATCTTCCCAAGGTCTCGAGGGTGAAAGCTGGTATCCATACGGAAGTTGAAATTCCCAACGCGTATTCGAGGATCCTATGCGATGTGGAAGTAAGTAGCCATTGAAGTAGATATGCCTGGAGGAACGTATTCGTATATCCAATATGGCACGGCCTCTCACATGTAATGCTTCTCAGTATGAACTAGATGTTTGTTGCTTCAGACCAGTTGCCCACGGGCGACCTCATCACTTGCCCGGAGCGAAAGACGAGGCGTTCCTTGAGTTCCGAGCCTCTTCTCATCGAGGCTATTGCACCTTATTAGGCTCTCGACATATCCTCTTCACAAACATGACGCCCCTGTAGCTTCTAAACGCTTTGTCTCATTCGAACAGGAAATAACTTGAGAACACAACGTCATGGTAAACAATGTAAAAAGATACCGTTTTAGAGATATCACAACTACTTAAAACAAATTTCAACTCTGATCAAAAAAAATCTCCATCATTCTGATATATGGCTTCACAACTTGGCCCTCGAGAACGACGTAGACGTCGTAGGAATCGACATTGGCACTGACGGGCTGAAGCAAAAACAGCGGATCCAAGGTCTAAATATCCCCCCTCCACCCACTCCCGTCCAAATGCTTTCAGATTTTCCAGTAGTTCTTCGTGTTTAGCGATTATCCCGTGACGCGAAAGCTTATTCGTCGCCGTCAGACATCTAACGCGGCAGTGAGAAGCATTCCATGAAAATGCATCTCACTTGTTTTCTGGAGTCCATGGGTCATTGAGCAATACTATAGCACAGAGTTGCTCAAGTGGAGACAGCTTACCAACTTTCCAACACTTCCTCAGCGAATCGAGAACCTACACTTATCGCGATGTTCCTACTCGAGAAGGTAGCCTTCTTACCGCTTTCCTAGACTCAGATTTCCTCAGCAGCTCCTCGTAGTTCCTATATTGGACATTGTTAGCCTTAGCCCATTTCTCGAGATTTTCCTTGTTTACTTGTACCATCGCAACCGGCCTATCCAGAGTGCCTAAAGCAGTTTAAGCGCAAGCTTAACTACATGTGTCAGCGACACATTAAAATTTCGAGGGA